TGTATCACAGGGTTGGGGCAGGTTTGATTGCTGTTCAACCATACGCCGGTGTCTCGTTCACAGTTGTCCTTCACCTCGCATCTGTCCGTGCTCTGGCACCAGCCACAGTCGTACTTTGGCGCGAGGGTCAAGCACATTCCGCAGTTGTCGGCCATGTCGCGGCACCGGTATATCACCAGATGGATGTTGTGCGGGTTGTCCAGGGGTTTGGAGCCGCCCCAGATCACCGCGAAGGGTACGGTGATGTTCGGTGCACGGGACGTGTACAAAAACTCGGTCTCGTCGCAGTAAATCGTGTCGGCCAGCAGGCGAGCGTTCACGCTCGTCACGCGGCCCTCTATGTTGAACTGACAGACGAACCTGGTCTGCACGATGAATTGCTGGAAAAGACGTTTCGCATAGGTTAGCGCGTCAATCATGCCGCCGCGGACGGCATCACGAAGCTCACGGATCGTTCTCTCTCTCTCTCTCTGTCTCTTGTCGCGTCTAACGAAAGAGCCCGCTAACGACACGTGAAAACGTGTCCGTGGAATTAATGTGACAGCATTAGCGGGATTTCTAACCGCTTGAGAAAGATGAATACACCGGCCTATGCGTATTATATACTTACCCCGATGATGTGCACTTTAACTCGTATCACCTTCTTCACGCCGGAAGACACCAAGATCTCCTGGGAATCGGTCGCGTTCAGCGTGGGACAGAATGCTGGACCACTTCTGTAGCTTGGACCCGTTCTCTGTCGATGTAAAATTGTCCAGTTTTAAACACCGTCAGTTGATCCGTTCGAAACAGAGAAGCTTCCACTTACGCTAACTCCCGTGACCAATATATCGTTCCGACAGTTCTCAGCTGTGTCATGCGTGCATCTGTGACCGTCCACGCACCAGTCGCAGGGGAAGCTCGACGATACGCATTTGGTGCACGAGCTGTACGTGTTACAGTCGAAGAACGTGAAATTCGTGTTGACCAGGTCAGGTCCGTTCGTCATTCGAACGGACAGTTTCGCGGTGAAATGATGCTGTCCCGGTGAAATAGGTGGCAACAGATCTGTACGCGGTGTGGTACAGTTCACGCCGAACGATTTCCTCGACGCGTTGGTGATCAAGGTTTTGTCCAGGGTGGAGAACGCGCAGAGAAATTGTCCAGATAGCGTTGGTAGATTCTCGATGATCAATTCCAGGGTTCTAGCCGTTGTTCGTTGCAGTTGATTCGGTGTGACGGACGTGATGGTAGTGCATCGACCGCTTTTGTAAGAGATCCAATAGAGCGGATCTTTGGCGGCATCCTGACAATCGCTGCGCAGGGTACATTTGTTCTCCAGCGAGCACCAGCCGCAGTACGGATCCTTAGCTCCCAGACAATCCAGGCAGGTCTTGTACACCGAACATTCTTGCACTTTCACCTTGGACACCGTTTTATTCGTCATCACGTACAGATGCATCAGCTGAGAGTCGAATAACAGGTCCGGGTTCACCGGGCAGTCCTCGTCGATCTCCAGGTCGCCGTATTCCAGGGCCAGGGTCGAGCTTTCCACTACCACCTGTGAAAAGGAAACGTGAACGTGTCGTGATTAATCGTGCACTCGATTGCGTAACACACACGCTTTTACGCGAGAGACTCGACCTCGAAGCGCGCGCGCGCGGGAACGTTCGAAACTCGGCAAGGTTGCAAACCTTGCGCGGTTTTTGTTGGGAATGTCGAGAGGTCGATTGCGAAAGTCGAGCACGATCGTTCGGTCTCGCTCCAGATACGAGGGGGAAAAATTGTTAATTGCTGGGTGATTCGAGGATTCTCGTTTCCTCGCCTGTCTCTAAATACTGTAACGCCATTTCGGTGTTTCAGTTTATGGTCTGCCTTTGGGAAGGAGAACTTGCGAGGTTCTTGTTCACTTGTAAACGTCGACTCGTCGAAACGAGTCCTGTCGATTAGTCCGATTTCATTGTCCAGAAACGAATTGGACGAGTCTGAATAAAGAACAGAAAGAGGCTGTCTGGGGCTAATTCAACCCCTGTGTTCGTTGTATTTCTTTCGAAGTTGTAATTCAACGTGGTTTATTCAACGAAAACGCGCGGTACAGACTGATTTATCTGCCACGATAAATTAAACATTTACAGGAAGTTTATGGGGACGAGTGCAACTCGTTCGTTGCCATATTCTTGAAATATTAATCGATCGTCGTTGTGCATCGTTAACGTTAACATGCATGTTTCCATTCTTTTTTTGTCCTTTTATTTTTTTCGTCGCCTCTATCCGGCTTTATCTCTCGGTTTAACACCTCAATCCGCCGTATGGAGCACGGAACGAGCGATTAATTTCGCCACGGAGACACAGGATGGACATTTAAACATTTGATAATTTTACAAAGTAAATTCGACGCTTATCAGTCTTGCTGTCGCGAGCGAGTTGCAACGGAGAGGCTCGTTCACGGTCTTGGTTAAGGGGTAGCAAATTAAATCTCTGCAGCGACCGCAAACGCGACGAAGAAACGTCTTCCCGCTAGAATTACGCCCGTTTGTCTAATAAAAAGATCAGACCGTCGTTGGACCGAATGGCGAATAATAGTGACCGTCTCACGATGGTAAACTGGTCGGAGCTCGAACCTTTCAGGTGTTAATCTCATTTGTGAACAGATACTTTACTTGTATCTTGCGAATTATACTTGAAACTCGTTTAAATCTTATAAAAAGTAAATAGAAAAATTTCAGACGAATGTAAACAAATAATTTAAAGGGTTAAGGGGTTAAAAGTGTTCCTCGCGAATTTTTCACTCTCTCAAAAAATTAATTTCTTCTAATCTTTCAAAAAGTATTTTCACGTATCACTCTATTCTCGAGTAACACGCATAAAGAATACAGACAAACAATTCAAAGAGTTACAGTGACCGAAAAAAGTATTCATACACCCTATAAAATGGAATAACTTTTTTAAAATTTGGCCAAACGACTTG